GTGTGTGTGTGTGTGTGTGTGTGTGTGTGTGTGTGTTTCTGCAGGTGGTATATCCTCCTTCCTAGCCCTTTTCTGAAGGATCACGTTCCCTTGAAATGACACCAGGGCAAAAATGACAGCTCTGGCACCCTTGCGAGATGCTCATCATGTTCCTTCTACAGATCCCTTGTGTTTTGGGGAACAAAAAGGAGCCGGGAGGGACGTGGAGTCCAGCAGGAGAGGGGATGGGGTCAGGTTTCCCAACGGAATTCTTTGGAATTCACGCTATCTCCAAAACCTGAACAGGTGCACGGTTGTGATTGGAAATTTTAAAAAATCCCGAACTTCCTCAGCACGTTTCCTGGGTCTTTGACTCGCCTGTCCATGCAGCGATAGATGTTTTTACAAGCTCTTCACGGAAAAGCGCAGAGATTGTGCCGGTGTCTTCGAGAACAGCCATCAACCTTATCTCGGGGACCCTCAAAAGAGCCACCATCAGCTTCCCAGTTCACCTTTTGGTCTTGAATGTCCGTGACATTCAAAACAGAAGCTACTGTTCTGATTAGACTTTTTTTTTAAGGCATTTCATGACATGAAGGTGTGTTTATTGCGGAGAGAACGTGCCTGCAGCCGCCCACTCATCGAAGGGACATGCTTTGGCACATATTCTGGTTTGCAAAAACCCCCACGTGCGTACGGATTGGAACCATAAAGGAGCAACACTTTATGACCAGCCCTGTGCACGGGATAGTCAAAGGATGTTTCCAAAAGCTGGTAGCAACTGGGATCGAAAGAAAGTGAAAATTCCCACACACTTTTTGATGTCCCCAGTGGGTACCAGGCCTTTGAACGGGTCCCTAATGTTTCGTGGGCTCCCGATGGCAACAGGGCAGCATGTACGCCGTCCGGCCATCAGGTCTGTGGCCCGATGAACTCTGACCCGAGCAGTAAACATTCCGAGGCATCCTACTTAAAGGAGGAGGTGCTGAATCTGCACCCTCACTCTCCGCCCACATGAAGGGAAGGTGCTGAGCCTGGATTAACAGCAGGATTTGAGAGCGTTGCATGGAGCTGGGATACAACTGACTGGTTCGTCCTTGAAAGAAAATCTTGTGAGAAGCACACCTGGTTGCTATGCAATGTGCAAACTGCCCTCATTTGCCTTGGCAGTTCCTGACCGATTCTAAAATGGTTCAAAGCCCTGGCATATACGTATATATGTGTGTACAGGTGTGCACACGCGTGTATATACTTAATACCATGACACTGAGAGGCTTTCTCCTCAGGCATGTTTTTCTTTAACATGTTTACTTATTATTTTTTTAATCATTGTATTGGGGGCTCGTACAACTCTTATCACAATCCATCCATCCATCCATTGTGGGTCAAGCACATTTGTACATTTGTTGCCACCATCATTCTCAACACATTTGCTTTCTACTGGAGCCCTTGGTATCAGCTCCTCATTT